TGGCCCTATTTAATGTTGTCTCTCGCTTCTCTGCGTCCATGGCAACGGATCAGTATATCGAACGAAGGATTGCCCAAAGGCACATATCAATATCAAATTCGAGGATTTCAATTAAACATGTTTGTCATTAAAGACTATTTATCATAATATTTAACTAGGAGGTATTTCTATTTACGGCATTCATTATTTTCATGCATGTGTCATAAGCACGCCGACCATGGCGAAAACCTTGAAATTTTCACTTGAAATGAGGAGAATGATTTAATAGGGCTAACATGAGTGGCAAGGAAGGGGACACCATGGAGTTACAAACGTTGTTGAGCTCAAGACAAGAAGAAAAGGAAAGCGTTGAAAGTAAAAAAGAGGATATAAACCCAAGTGAAGGTAGCTGGTGTTTATACTATTATTATTACAAACTAGTAAGAAACTCTCTGGAGCTTAAATCAAAATTTACTATTCATATTGAAAAGCGCCAGCTGGATGATTTCCGTTATAAATATAATCACCCTGAATTGTACGATCATTTAATTTCAACCGGATGTCGCCTTGCCGAGGTATTCCGATTCTAAAAACTTTTCGTCATGGCTGTTTCAATTTCTTAGAGTGAAACTAAGTTAACTAGTCCCCCTACCAAGGCAAAACAAAGCAACGCAAAATCATTACTCATTTGAGATGGCAGATCGCCCTCAAAGGGAAGTCCTCCAGCTGGGTAAACGCTTTGCTACCCGGTGGATGAATAGCTGAATGTCCTTTGTATCACACTGTACAGACGTGTACAGTTAAAACCCGAGCAACTACCTTTAGAGAGATATTTTCGTTTTTATTGCATTTACGTTCGTGACATGAAATTTAAATACATGCTTGTTAAGCGCTACTTCTTAGTAGTTTTGACTACGTAAAAATTCAATTTGATCAACACTTGCCTGAGGTAATAATATATAGTTCTTTTTAATTAGGCTCGTATGAATGAAAGTTAAACTGAGCAGTATTGGCTGACTGTATCTTTTATAAGGCTATATATTCTTTCAGATTTTTAAATAAAAAAATTAGTAAATTAACGGTGCATTTTTTTTTTCAGAAATAAAAAATTACACACTTTGGAAAAACGCAGCTATTTGTATTTCTTGTGCTTCCATTATTTTTACCACTGCGTTTGGTTTAACTTTCTTCGGTAAGTAAACACGCAGTTTTGTTTCAGCCTCTTGTGGTTTATATAGATGCTCGATTTTTTAATATTGTTACTGTTTTTTTTTTTCGAATAGTGACTTCTCAAATTGCTAAAAGTCCAGCAGCCTTTGGATTTGCCGTAAGTCACATTTTCATTCGTTTTAGTCTAATACGAAATTAATGTAAACACGGTAAACGAAATGTACACTTAAATTAGTAGAATAATTTCCATTTAGTGCTTTGATCTCTAATAGCTATTTGGAAAGTAGTGATTTTCAGCTATAGAAATGTTAAACGTGAACAATGGTGACAATTGACGCAGTATCCTTAAAAAAGTAGCCCTTTTAGTGTTTATAAGAAAAAAAGTCAAACCAACGAAGACAGGGTTGCTACAGCTGTAACATTTAAAATAAACATAAACGTTACCATTATAGTCGGCTTCATATGACCAAGTCCTATTATGGCTCTTGATATGACACATTTACATACGGAAACTCCAATGAATATTGTACTTGAATTTTGATTGGGAATCTTTGGCTGTTATAAACTAACTTAACTACACTTTTTACTACCTTGCTTTTCTAGGAATACATTTTTTTTTCTTTAATTTTTATTCTTCCACAGATGTGTGAAAAACAAATTTTAAAATATTCTTTGTAAACTACTAAAAAACATTTTATTTGAAAAGGCTGAATTAAAACATGATATACTGTAGGAACAAAATACTTTAAAATATATTCTTTTAGACAAAGACTAGATGAACTTTTCGAACCTTTATCAACGGCGTCTTCTCCACAATAGCAGCTTTCGTTTATTTCATTACGCTATTTTTTTTCTTTTATTTAATATATATCAGTATTTTTTATTCCGATGAAAAGTCGATAAATCCGATTTCCCCTTTTTTCATTCCATGACATGTTTCATGAGAATTTCAACGCGAAGAGGGAAAGGGAGGCGTCCATTCCCGATCCTCCGGTTCTTCGCCTGCGCGCAATCTGACGCCCTTCCTTCTAGTTTTACGATGCTGAATAACGTAGTGACTTTGAAAAATCTAATTCCAGTTTTACGTGCTTTAAAGCACTACAACCGCTCCACAGCTCCATTGACAGTTTCCCTTATGATAAACCAAAAAAGCGCAATATTCTGTTTCAATACCAGTTTGCGGATTTGGCAAAGGTAACTCAACATCTCAGGTCATAACCGCGGAACTCACTGACACTCTAAGGAATTGCGAAGGCTATTGATAGCAACCTATACACCTCTGATGTTTTCCTGGATTTCTCGAAAGTATTCGATACTGAAAATCACGAAATGTTTCTCCAAAAGGTAGAAGCATAGGGTGTTAGAGGTTTGAAATGGTTCAGTAGCTACTTAAGACTTTCAAAAAAGTCCTTCGTCTGATTTAATATGGCGCGGGGACTCGCGACTTCGTAGCTCGCTTGGCCGCTTCAGGGCCTGAATAGCTCGCTCCGCTCTGCTAAAAAACTCGTGGGGTCGACTTGTAGCTAGTCCAAGTAGCTACCTAACAAACAGGCAACAGCGACACTGCAATACGAAATGCAGGCCCCCACCACACGTATCCGATGAATCCGGCATACGAATCCGCAACTTTTTTAATCCGATCTTCAGAGTGGAAATTTTTGAATACGCTACGAATCCGGAATCGTGTGGACCCTTAATCCGGATATCTTTTTTATTCGGTGACGTAACAAGATCGAGCCCAGTTCTTTACCGTGAATACTGTATTCAAGATGGTAACCTTAACGCATGTTTTGTTGCTAATATTCCCAGAGGTGTCCTGGATACCAGGATGAATCCGGATACGTGTCAGTTACGTGTGGACGGACAAATTCGATTTGAATACGGACACGTGTGGACGCGGAAATTTTTGAATCCCGACAGAAACAGTTACGAATTCAAAAGTATCCGGATACGAGTGGACGGGGCCACAGAATCGCCTATGCAAACGATGAGCTGTGGAATTCCCAAGGGTAACACATTAGGACCATTACTTTTTATTATTTATATAAACGACTTACCCAACTGCTCTGTTGATGATACCAACGTATTCGACTCGGCGAACGGCCTCTTGTGAACTGCGAACTTAATTTGAAAAGGTGAAAGAATAGAGTGATGTAAATAAATTGTCAATAAGTACGGTAAAACTAAATTTATGATAAATGAGTCTACTGAAAAAAGGATAGGACAGTTAAATATTCAGATAAGAAGCCAGGATGGAACGTGCTACTCTATGGTCCGCAAGGGCCATATTAAATATTAAGGGTAATGATCAATGATTATGCCTCTCTTGGGAATATCATATCTCATATATATTTGCACACGAAGTTTCCATCAATGGTACGCTTTTTAAAAAAAAAATCAAACGTTATATATTGTCCGAGCAATACTTGCCGAAACCTAACATTGCCTAATTCTGCCTAACCTCACTTTTGTTTAAAACTTGTCCTTATTACTTTTGCAAAAAAAACTGTAATTTGTTCTTTTCTGTTTTATGATTTATTTGTTTATTTCAATTCAGTATTTATTTTGATCCTTCTGGTTCCTCGCCTGTACTATATTTTAAACGAAACGTAATTAGCATTATGGTGACCAACTTAGCCATCCTACTTGAGCTTGAATATAAATAGAAACGTTTGTAAATGTAATTGTAAACAACTAGCTAAAAAGGCTGTAACTTAGCACTATGTAAAATATTGAAAGAAAATAAACTGAATCGAATTAAAACCCATGCGTGTAAGTCAAAAGCTTTATTAAGCCCATCGAAATCTAATCAGGAATCANGATTCAAAAGTATCCGGATACGAGTGGATGGGGCCACAGAATCGCCTATGTAAACGATGAGCTGTGGAATTCCCAAGGGTAGCACATTAGGACCATTACTTTTTATTATTTATATAAACGACTTACCCAACTGCTCCGTTGATGATACCAACGTATTCGACTCGGCGAACGACCTCTTGTGAACTGCGAACTTAATTTGAAAAGGTGAAAGAATAGAGTGATGTAAATAAATTGTCAATAAGTACGGTAAAACTAATTTTATGATAACTGAGTCTACTGAAAAAAAAAGGATAGGACAGTTAAATATTCAGATAAGAAGCCAGGATGGAACGTGCTACTCTCTGGTCCGAAAGGGCCATATTAAATATTTAGGGTAATGATCAATGATTATGCCTCTCTTGGGAATATCATATCTCATATATATTTGCACACGAAGTTTCCATCAATGGTACGTTTTTTAAAAAAAAAAAAATCAAACGTTATATATTGTTCGAGCAATACTTGCCGAACCCTAACATTGCCTAATTCTGCCTAACCTCACTTTTGTTTAAAACTTGTCCTTATTACTTTTGCAAAAAAAAAACTGTATTTGGTTCTTTTCTGTTTTATGATTTATTTATTTATTTCAATTCAGTATTTATTTTGATCCTTCTGGTTCCTCGCCTGTACTATATTTTAAACGAAACGTAAGTAGCATTATGGTGACCAACTTAGCCATCCTACTTGAGCTTGAATATAAATAGAAACGTTTGTAAATGTAATTGTAAACAACTAGCTAAAAAGGCTGTAACTTAGCACTATGTAAAATATTGAAAGAAAATAAACTGAATCGAATTAAAACCCATGCGTGTAAGTCAAAAGCTTTATTAAGCCCATCGAAATCTAATCAGGAATCAGAAATCATTAATCAGACGGCCCCTTTGCGCGTGCGTTAAAGAAGGGTGGGGTTTTAAGTCCAAGTATCACAATCTATGAATCAGCACAGAGTTTTATTATGAGTACTAGCATGATTATTTATCGCTTTAGTTTGAGCCCTATTTGATTTTCAGTTTGCGGCTGTGTTGGACTCGTTCACTTCAGCAATTGTTTTGTGGAGATTTGCCGAAATAGAAAGCAATGACCCCGAATCCTCCGAACGCGAACAAGAAAAAGAAAGAAGGTATGTCAATAAATTGTTTGTTCGAATTACCCTACAGTAGCGGTCATTTGATAGCCTGAGTAAACAGCCGACATTTAGCGAATCTACCACGGGTTCCCCGCCAAATGACGTCTGAGAAACGAGCGCAGAAATTCCATACTGATGACGCGTCACTACCCAGATCTAGGTAGTGCTTCTGATTGGTTGAATCAAATTTCCCACGCGGCACTACCAATCAGAAGCACGACCCAGATCTTGGAAGTGACGCGTCATCAGTATGGAATTTCTGTGCTCGTTTCTCAGACGTCATTTGGCGGGGACTACTAGTGGTAAGCGTCGCAAAATGTCGGCTGTTTTCTCAGGCTAGTCATTTGACAATGAGGTGAGCATACAGTAGACTAAAGTAACCGCCCCATAAAGGAATCTAATATTGTCTTGGAATATGGATTCCATGCCATAGATTCCGGATTCCAGGTACTGGATTTCAGGATTCTTTGTCAGTGGAACTTGGATTCCAGATTGCAATCAATAATGGGATTCCGGATTCCTTGAGCTATATTCCGGATTGCAAAACCCAGAATTCCGGATTTCACAACCAAAAATCTTCCAGATTCCGGAATCCCTTACATGGGTTGGATTTTTTTGGAAGTACAAACAGTCCAGTCCAGTTTCAAGTTCGAAATGACTGCAGAATGAAAGCACTAAGATGCGTCTATTTGAAGTAATATACCAGTCACAAATTACAGTGAAAGAAAACCTGTTAACAGGTCTGTTTATTATCGTTTATTTTCAAATTTCGGGCGCCTTTCTCCTACCCTAGGTGCCAGAGACTTTTCATGCCCAGTTTGCGGTTTCAGTCAAGTCTTTAATTTATAGTGTCTTTATAGCGAAAAACTTCGCCACTCGTGGCTTTAAAAGGCCAAAGACGTATCGGCCTACGGCCGACCCGAAGCATCTCCGCCGCACTCAATCGCCGCACCCGAGAAAATACCACCAGTAGTGGTATTTGTGAATATTCTTCTTAAGGTCGGTTGAAGCAAACTTTATTTGAACGTGTCATTGGGGTTTGTATTCAAGGGTAATTTTTGACACGAGAAGGGACTATTCATATCATACCGCCGTTCGGATTTCAAAAAAGTGATTACTTAACATTTTACACTGTATGTTTCATTTTGCTTGTTTTCTTTACGGCAGGGCTTGTATAGCAATTTCTATCTGTTTTATCCTCTCCTCATTTGCCATAGCCAGCAAGGCTGTGTATACGTTAGCAGTAAACGGAACTCCTCGCAAGGTATTTCAATACACTAAGGGTTGATTTCCACTGTCGCGTAATTTTTACGTGCGTACGTGTGTAAAATTTACGTTCGCAAATAAAATAGAGGCCGCACCTTAGCGTAAAGGAAAACCTCACTCAACTTCACGTTTAATCTCAACACTTGCCTCTATTTTATTAACGTGATTAAAAATTACGTGCGTTAACGTGCGTAGCCAAAAACGCGTCAGTGGAAATCAACTTTAAGTCATTCAAAATTTTACTCAGAGTCCACAGGCGTACCGGCCGGCGGAAAAACGCCGGGACAGACTTATGGGTAGGTACTTCCTATAATAATTATATATGAAGTACCTACCGACTTATGGCGATCATCCGCTGACCAAAGAGCTTGAGAACTCCGGGTATAAGATTAGGTCAACTGTTCTTTTTCTTTTCCATCTCGAGAAGCTGACAAGCAATAGGGATTTGATACCAACAAATAAAAAGTATCCGCTCTGATCCCTACAGCTGCCAAGAACTAGCACTGTTTAAAGAAATAAATTCTACGTAGAGACGAAGAGAGGAAAATACAAAACCATACACATGCTTTCAGTTGGCACAGCGCCCGAAACCTACAGTACTTTTGCCCTACTTCACTTTTATTTTTACTTGAGGTACCAGGGGTATCTTGCAGAACGCAGAACGCTGAATGCAGAATGCAGAACGCCAGATGACTCTGAAGTTTAGTGATCGGGGTTAGGAAACTGAGTGAATTAGGTTTCATTTAGAGTCATTACACTGGGAAAATTGACGTGAAACTTGATTCACTCAGTTTTCTAACCCTAATCACTAAACTTCAGAGTCATTTGGCGTTCTGCATTCTGCATTAGGCGTTCTGCAAAATACTCGTGCCTTACTTGCAAAGCTAAAATTTACAGTGCAACGTAGGTGAAATTGAAGTGAGACGCTAAACCGCAAAGCCTTCTTAAAAATCATGACCGAGCGCGGAGCCCTAGGTTATTATTTTGTAGGTTATCCGGTTCAACGCACTTTTGCATTGTTTTAGAACCACCGAAGTGGAGCAGTGGGATATTTTTCGTAATAATGATGATCTCCTGTTCCATCTCAGTGAACTCCTCTTCCATTTATTGTAAGATAACCTGTTCAAAACAAATGGAAAGGAGCTAAAGTTTGAATTCACTATTTTCACATAGACCATAATGCACCTTGTTTACCTCCCAAAATTTTGCATAACCATTGTCTTTGATTTCTCTTCAGATAACTGTAATACCCAGGAGAAATCGGAAACAAAGGCTATGCAAAATTTGGGGCGGGGGGTAAGCAAGCTGCTTTATGGTCTATGTGAAAATGGTGAATAACAAATTTGACCGTAAAATGTTTCCTAATGTTTCAGCAATATTTGATGGAAATGCTTTCGATTGCAAGTCTTCTGTTTCTCCTTATCCTGGTTGGTGTCAAGTGCTTGATAGCCCACAAAGTCCACAGCAGAACTATGAGAACTGATGGTAATAATAAATACTTGGCTAATTTAAAATACACTAAGGCCTGGTCAATGACAAAACTTTAAAAAACTGTGGAAGCGTTTATTTTCTTGTTTACATACGTTTGATTACGTTAGAGGCATGTTGTGTATTTTCCACAAACCTTCAAAGTCGGTTCATTTTGGCCCGAAACGAATTGATCGTGGCAAAGTTTAGTAGCTTTAAGTGACCAGCAGACGAGTGAATACAGATTATCTTTATAAGAGTGTCCCCCCCTCCCCCTCCCAGAGGAGCTCCACTGTTAAGACTCTCTTAACAATGACTCACCCAGACTTATATCTTCAGTTCCAACTTAAGTTAGAAGAACATTGCGGGGCGTAAACAAACGATTATAACTGAAATTTTGTAGACGATTCAAGTGGTACAAATGTCATTCTGGTTTCTAAAACAACTTGCAGGGGCACCTAATGGATCTGTTCTTGAAAATATCTTTTCCTTAGGCAAATTTTTGCTGGCTGAGAGATTTGAAAAAAATACCGTAAAATTCCGAAAATAAGCCCCGAGGCTTATATTTTTCAAAGGCCCTTTTTGAGGGGCTTATCTATGGAAGGAAATTTGCGTTTCAAAATCGATTGAGCTAGCCTTATAGTTAGAAGGAATTTTACGTCTTTTACCGTTTTTGCTTTGTTTTACTTTGTATTTGAGGGCAATTTCCAAGAACAAGCCCTTGGGGGGCTTATATATTTGAAGGGGCTTATGCATGGAGGGGCTTATTTTCGGAATTTTACGGTATGTCTTTGGAAGAAAAGTGATGCTGGGAAATAGAAATTTGATGTCTAGAATAGCTGCTATGTGTCCTTTGTGAGAAACCTCTTTGCCCAAAACCCACCCCCCTCCCTCCCACTGAAGGGCTGAATTTTGCCCTATGACCACTCCCAAACTGGTAAGTAATCACTGGACATACGTCTGTTGAGAAACTTCACACTAAGTTGAGTTGCAGGTTGTAGGTGCACCTTGCCGGCTGGGAACTCTTATATCAGTCTTGCTGGGAGTGAGGAACAGATGAATTTTTCCCAGCAATCTCCCAAGATGCTTGAAATGAGTTCAGAAAGCTTTATTCATACTTTGTTGTTGTTGTTGTTAGGTCTTTTTCTCAAAATTTCCCGTTGGGTGCCCCTGAACTTGTATAGTGGCGTATTTGAAACTGATTTAAAACTTTTCGTATCTTAAAATAGTTTTCCAATAGATAAGCTTATTGGTAAGTCCAACCAATACCCGAAAACTGGATAGAAACGCCACACAAAAACAAAACAAGTGTTAAAAGATAATCTAGAGAGGTGCATTGTTTACCAATTGAACAACATACTGTGAAAGACACTTAAGATTTTTAATGGTAAAACCCACAACTGATCGATCACAAGAAAAAGGCTAACACCACAAAATGCCCCTTTCCTCTAAACTTCGAGCAGGCCATCAAGTTGGGGTTTCGCGCTCAATTCGTTTAGTTTCACTTGCGCATGATGTCACTTGCAACCCGGCGCGTTTGCGCATCGCTGCTCGCGTCTGATCTCGCTCGCTCGCTAAGAGAGCCTGCTAGCAGGCTACCAGGCAACCCTTTCTCCCACTACAACCATTAATCGTCTGTCTTTTTTTCTGTCTTTTACAGCGGTTAACTCCCTTGCTGGAGCAGCAATGACCCTTGGCATGATTGCAAGCGACGTTGTTTGTGAAAAGAACCATAAAATCTGCTACTTGGATTCGGCCACAGCAATTCTCATAGCCATTGCTCTTTTCTCTTATGGCGTCTTGTAAGTTGTAGACCGAAAACCATTTAACAGCTAGTTCTACCAGAATTTCATTGTCTGCAACATTATAAATCACAAGAATGACACCATAAAATGTCCAAGTTTCATTGCTAAAGACTTCATTTCTGTGATTCACAAGACAGTAGACAGTAGATTTTGTTTTAATCGATTCGTTCTCCACGATATATATCATTAAAAGTTATAAGAGCCATTAATTATTTATTAAAATATCCCACATGAAACATAAGAAAGATTGCGCCATTTCTCTTTCTTGTAATAGGCTATGTTAGTTTCTAGCTAGTCTTTTTCGAACAGGCTGCATATACCGGAGTGATTTTCATTCACGATGATTCGTCCCGTGTACATGCTATGCTCTGCTACTGTACATATTTACTGAAGATACATGTAATGCATCTCGTGTATTCTAGAACAAGAGGTGTTTAAGGGCTGCTCTTATTTGAAGCTGGGGCTAATCAAGAATTTACGTTATTTCATTCTGACTAAGTACACTTTTTTGTTATAGGACTATTGCAGAGCTGACGCAGAGTACTACAGGAAAGGAACAAAATGAGGAGTAAATTTACTGTGGAAAGTACTGAACGCGTTTAATTTTCGTCTCCGAGATTTTCGTGCGTTTTTGCAAAAGTTTCTTATTGAACAATTTTTATGGAATTGTATATAAAAGAAAGTTGAAATAAAGTAGACTATTTTTAAAAGAAATATCTTGTAATCGATGTGTCATCTTTCAGAGCCCACGCAATCGCAGTCCGTTGCGTGCAGGGCCCACTGGTTAATAGTGAATTGGAAAGGGGTGGGGTAAAGGGGTGGAGGGGGGGGGGGTATTATACTCAAGAATGCTACGAATAACATTTTTCCTTTAGCAAAGAATGAAATTAAATCCAAGTCAAAAAAATGAATGCGTTGTGGTCTCTGCCTGTTGAGATTATAGTGGTGTAAGGACGAATCGAATTCTCGATTAATCGCGATAATGACCGTTCGGTTCGATTCACGATTCTTTGCTTCCACGTTTCGATTTTGTTTCGGTTTTTGCACACCTTTTCCAGGGTGCCAAATTGCAATCGAATCGCAAGGAATATGAATCGTAACACCCCAAGCAGTCTGAAATTCTCATTGTTGTTCTCTGCGAATAGCCTGACTCATTTTGTTGAGTTTTGTAATTGAAAAACTCAACAAAATGCCACTTTAACTGGCCAGGAAAGACAAGGGTACGTTCAGTTAAAGGTATCTTAGCTTTGTTTTGTTATATTTTGACTTTTGGATTATTTTAGTTCATGGGAGTTTCGACGACTCATCCTATTTTGTCCATGTGAATATTAATATATTCATTTAACACATACTACGCCTGGGCCGCCTGTGCCCACACCGACCACGTGTTTAATTTCGCGTAGACGCTTGTATTGGCAAGCAATATATATAAGCATGCTTATAACACTGAAAATGAAAATGAAACCATTTTATCAAGACTCTGGCGTTGAAAAGAAATTAACTGAAGAGAAATGACACAAATTTGACAGCGACTTCTACCTACCTTCTGGTTGGTTACAGTATATGTCGTATAGTAGACTTTTTTCCTCTCGCACTTTGAATACTGTAATGCTTGTCAGACAACTTGTTCGTGGAAAACTCGAGAGCAGCATTCTTCGTGAGACGAAAAATTATTCGCAGCGTAGTATACTTTCGCGTCTTCTTTCGCAAACTAAATAATTGAGCATAAATGCCGGTCAGGTCTAATTTAAATTTGAATTTTACGGCCGACCGAATGCATCCTCGTGATTATTTCCTGTTTCTTGATTGGCTGTTTTGATGCACGGGCTGAAGAAGCGAAAAAACGTGAGGAATGATTTGCAATTCAAAACAATTTACCACTTTCACATCGACCGTATAACACCTCCCCCCACCCCCTCCTCCTCCCCCATAGTGCAATTTCTCTTGGGTATAACAGACGTTCAAAGAGAAATCGAAGACAATGGTTATGACAAAGTGAATCATGGTCTTTGTGAAAATGGTGAATAAAATTTTGTCATTTTAACATCCCAACCGCAGAAAAAGCAAGCAAACACAACTGATTCTTAATTTTTGTTTGAATAGCCGGTGTCTTCCTTATTAGCCATATATATCGTCAGATATCGGATAATTGGGGAATTACAGGTCTTGTTTCGGTTTTAGTGTATCGCTTTTAATGTTGCATGTACCCCAAATTTTCCATACGCTTTCTGTGGGACTTTCCAACAAATTCGTTAAGACTGAATGCCACCACTATACAAAGCTGATTAAAAATATGAACTCAATTATTAGATGAGGATGAGTGTGATATGAAGAATTATGTAGAACCGATCGGTTGGTTCTTTTTGTCTCAGATTCATCCCTGAGGTAGTAGTTTTTGATTGCGTGGTGGGAATAAAGTTTGTGAAATATTGCGAATTGTTCCCCTACCGTCAGTTGAGTGCAAGCTCTCCTTTTCGAGAGGTCACGCGCGACTTCTCCGGCCAAAAGTTGACAAAGTGAGTCAGAATCGTTGTTTTTTTTTAATATGGAAAAGCATTTCTCGCCTTAGATTACTTATACTTTACAATACATCAAGAAGCGCAGGAACGAGTTTGTGAGTAAATGTATGAACGAATGAATAAATAAACAGTAATAAAATGAGTAAAAGTAAAAACGATGACCCTTTGCTGAAATTTTCCTTTATTTATCAAATAAATTTCATTTTATAGCTATTGCACTTTAAATTTGGTACATTTATACTATAGGTTACAAAATTTCATTAATTAACTTAATTTAACATAATACAATTGATCCATGTCAACACTAACTCGTATTCTTTACAGAATTAATTGTGTTCCTTGTTGATTTTACTGCCTGATAACAAATACCTAGCGTTAGGCATATTTTTCAAAATGTCTCTAAAAAAGAATTTACAACAAATAATTCAAAAACCAGAGATAAAGATGCGAAAAACTATGGTTCAGCGAACAAAGAACAACGTACAAAAATCTGGGATATGATGATCCCACGCTTTGGAGTAAATTTCGTTAAATTATTAAAGACGCATTTGATGATCGTTGTGATGGCCTAGTTGTATACAGTGCACTCTGTTTAAAGGTGATTGCATAAAGTTCATCGAATTACGAAGTCACACAATTCACTTTTGAAGAGCAGAGCATACGAGTCACGCCACCTACAAGTCAAACTATGCTGTCTTCAAAGAAGTAATGGAAAGTCATACAAGCTACCTTTCAAATAACTGCACCAGTTGTCAACCACGATCCCAGTTGTTAAGGGAGCTGTGTCACGAAATTCAGCCAAATTAGGAAATTACAAAATGCCCGTTAAATTAAGAGAAACATAGAAATAACCGCTTAAAACTCTACAGGAAGGTTAAAATAACATAACAGAAACAACAGGTGCCACGGATGGGCAAAACTGAAGAAGATTGAAACGGATTGAAATTAGGGTTTTTGAAAACTGTTCAGCCAAACAGTTTTTCAAAGTTGATCCCCGCTGCTTGCAACTTCAAAAATAATGCTCAGGAGACATTTGTTTGTCTTGGATCTCTTATTTTGTCATTTACATGTAATTTCTTTGCTTACTTTAAGTTCCATAGCGATTGAGGGCGAGTAATTGGCAAAATTAAACAAAATGAACTGGACTGCCGTGACACAGCCCCTTTAAGGTAATAAATGTAATGATTGGCGCCAAATGGTGTCTAATGTAATAAGGATTTGGTGCCAAATCTAATAAGGATACCAAATGTTATCAGAAATAGGTGGCAAATGTAATAAAAGATCACAAATGTAATAAGGAGTAACCTGCGAACGCAGGTGGGGAAAGGATACGACTAAAAATACGCTTGTGTTCGCAGGCTTTCACAAATGCACGAAACAATGTCACCATATGTAAGAAGGGAGAGACGCAATTGTTATTAATTTTGCAATCGCAACAAGGATCAGTTTCATCGAAAATTGATGACATGTATAAAAGATAGAAAGTACGCTATTGCTTAAACAAATAAACCTTCGCTTGAGGACGAGCTAATACCAGTTACGTACCACGCGTCCTTGCGCTAATTAGAAAAGTTACGGATTGTTAAGTTGTTTAATTACCATTTCATGCAAAATTCCGGAACATTGAATTATGTTAGGTCAAAAGAATACTTTTTTGTTAGCCCAAAGCGGACAATTTCCATACTACACCATGCAACAAACAAAGTGAACGTCCATATTACAAGTGGTTTGGTTTTACAAATATAACACTAGTAATAACCAAAGGTTACAGAGTGCGGGCGACAACGATCAAAGTCAAAACGCTTCTGCTCCTTTGCTGTGCTTTTCGTAAGTTTCACGTGACAGACAGTCAAAACACGCGTGATCACATTACAAGTGAGAGAAGGTCCAAATGTGATCAAATTGTGTTCGTTGCATTCCATTCATTCTTAATGGAAGTCCAAACGAATGCTGGCTACATACATGCGACGCATGCGTAATAACAACCTGGGTTTTGGATTGCGGGCACCCCTTTGTCGCCCGCAATTAGATAATGTGATGACTATTAAAAAAACCTATCATAGCACCAATCCTACATCTCAAGAAGTCGGTTCTTCCTACAAATGACCCACCTCACCCCTGATACATTTCTATGTAACCATTGTGACCCATTCCTTATCCCAGAGTTGTGATCCTTGTGATTACACTTGGCACCAATTCCGCATTACATTTGGTACCCTTTTTTACATTTTGTACCAGTTAATACATGTGACGAACTTAATCCTAATGGGCTAAATCTGTTTTTCTGGTCCATTAACACTGGGCTCGTCCTATATGAGGTTTTCTGAGAAACAACTCACCTACCCCTCCCCTAAGCCAACATTAAAACTTACTTCTCACTTAGGGCAAAATGATGGCTTCAGGAAGGGGTAGGTGGGCGGTTTCCCAGTGGCTGAAACAGTGAGTGGGTAAGATGAAGCGACTCCAGTGCGTTCTGATTGGCCACCCGGGCGGATAACGTGGGCCCGCTCCGGATTTCCCGCGTTTGTTCCGCTGGAAAAAATTCTGTCTATAGCCATAACAAAAATAAATTCTTCATTGACCAAACTTGTTCGGTCAAGATGGCTGTACGTTGGCCAAGTCCCTTTTTGCGCATTTATTGACCACGACTTCGTCTCGCTCCTCGGCCAATCTTCAGCCATATTGACTTCACTCTTGGTCAATAACGCATATATAATACAACAGTCCTACGCCTATGGCCGAGTAACTAGTAACTATTCAATAGTGCGAGTCTTATTTTTTATGACACCCTAATTATATTTTACAACTTTTTTTGTTAACTAATACTTCATATATCAACCTCTCCAGACTGCAGACACTGTAATTCTACGAGTCTTTTCACGTGGTGATGACAAGGAAGTTAGACATCGAAGATACCGTGTAATCATGCCCAGCTTTAACTAAAACATAAAAATAATGATCCGACAGTTTGCATGCTCACAGTTGGCAATCAAATCGACAAACAACTGTGTTTTCAAATACAAACTTCCACAATAAAGACAAAAATGAACGATTTTTTCAAAAAACTATACTGCTACCTTAATCGCCTTAAAGCTATAACGAGTTGTAGTAAGAGTCTCTTATAATTCAATAAAACTTGCCAGCACCAATGGCTAGTTAATGTTGTAGACTCCCTTCTTTTTCATAAATCCCATTTTCTCAAGCTTTCCTTTATTTCCCTTTTGTTCTTTTTCGCGTTGCTTTCTGGCCTTGAGTTCCCGCTCCGTTTCCGCTTTCATTTCTTTGATCTTTTTCTTTATTACAGCTCGGTGGTTTTGGCTCACACCCATGGCCTGAAAAGTTTAAAAAAATGAAAACGATGATCAACATTTACCCCCTATTTTTGCCTCTTAAATGATCAAATCGTGCAACAGAGGTTTCTGAGTCAGGGGCGACGCTGGTACTTTTCCAGAGTAACGCACAGTCTTCCAAATCAACCTACCCTGGTTGCCAGAGACTTGACGTGCGCGGTTTCCGTTTTCGGCCAAGTCTTTATAGTGACCCGCGCAAAAGTTTTTTTCCCGCGGGTTCGCTGCTAGTCGCTTCGGCTTTGAGGCCGAAGCATGTCGGCCTGGGGTTAAGTAAGAGAAAAAGCTCTCCTTTGAATATTTCCCCAAACATTAAAGACGGGTAAACACCAAGTCGTACCTTGAGCTTGGAGCCATCTAAATTTAATAACTGCTTGCCGTCGATATTTTTGTTGCTGAACTCTTCCCCGTACACTTCAAGGTCATTTGCCACCAGCCACATGTACACCTACAAGTTCACAGCAGCACTGATTTAAAACAAATTAGCCTTATGCCCAACTGAACTCACACCAAAGCTTAGACATGTTTAAAAACTGTTTAATTAAACACGGTGTACATTTGTCTCCTTCATAAAAGCGACCAAAAGTTTTCTTTCACTGATTATCTTTTCTTTAACCTGGTTTAAAAAAAAAACTTTAAAAAACTGGTTTTGTTGGTGTGAAGAGGGCTATATTCACACCTTAATGGCTTTAAGCCGTCTCCTGTACCCACGATTATTATTTTAAGAGCAGCACTGAAGGACGGCGTAGTGGTGAGAGCACTCGCCTCCCACCAATGTGGCCCAGGTTCGAATCCTGGCGTCGACGTCATTGTGGTTTGAGTTTGTTGTTGGTTCTCTCACTTGCTCTGCGAGGTTTTTCTCTGAGCACTCCGGTTTTCCCTTCCCCTAAAAAAAACAACACCTCCAAATCCCAATTCGATCTTGAACGCACGGACTCGTTTCGACGCGTTGTTATGAACTCCTACAGTTGTAAGTGCTCCGTGGGTATGCAAATTACAATAACGATACAAGACAGTGCTTGCACATAAATAGAACCCCGTTAAACCCCAATTTCTACATACAAGTTAGTGTATAAAACCACATACAATTTCTGCAGAGTACACTCATGTTCATACCTTTAGTTGAATACTACGTTGAGAAAATTTGATGAAAAATTAGAAGTATTTTCCATCTGATGACCATTTTAACAATTCTCACGCCCTTTTCTGTTGCTTATGTATTATTTACTGTAGGGGAAAACTGATGTTGACAGCCCAAGGGAGTTGAAGGTAAACAAAATCTTTTGTTTGACTGACCCACCTGATCTGTGTCCCAGTCGGACACAAGTTGTGACACTTCAACTGACTGCCCATCAGGACTACTGATTGATGACTGTCCATCTGTATTCGACGCAACACCTGGCCGGAGAGGAACAAGCAAATAACAATTTTTAAAAGCTTTACCTCAAGAATCTAAATTAATGTTCTGCCAGTGTTTGTGCTGGTTTTTGGTTATAACATTCAAGGAATGTTCAAGGAGTACTAAAGCACTAACAACTTAGTTTTTAGGGAGTGTTCATCGATGACAAGGTTTGCCGAATTTTTTTCCCAAAATCCCTCCTCCATATTCCAAAACATTTGCGCTCAATCTTCAACATACTTTGATGAAATACTTATTATTATTTCGCATCCAAGCCAAATTTCAAAGATTCTCAAACTGCAGCTTATAAATTCCCCTACTTATAAGCCCCCCACTCAGTTATACGCTCATATAGTTAAAAGACCCCCCTCCCCACCCCCTGGACACAAGCACCTCTCCAGCTTGTATTGAAAATAATTCAATTTATCATGATGATGTATCATGACATCGTGAAGCTTAATTTTAAAACCAGTAAAATTAATGTAAAAAGCAATCTGATCAGCACTGCTTTACAGTGTACCTTGTTTTGACATAACTTTTAATTACTACGGTTATAAGCTCCCCCCGGATATAAGCCCTTCCAGTTAAGTTCTAAGACCCCTATTTACAAAGATGTATAAGCCCAGTTCTTATAAATGGCTGTCTACGGTATGTAACTAACAAATCAAACAAGAAGAATAAAATCAAATACCAGCATGCTTCGCACTTACTTGGTGAGGCCCGCCCAGAGCCAGGTTGGCTGCTGGCAGCAAGAAGCTCAGGTGGACAATCAATAGCTGCTTCATTGTAAGGCTCTAAAACAGGAACACTCTTCACTTGTAACAAAGGCATAGCAGGAGGGAGGAATGGGGAAGAACCACGTGATGAACCATGTGATGAGGCTAGGTCTGAGTCAATCTGAGGATTGAGAGTAATGTCAAAATGAATGTAGCCCAAGCACCAGGCATTTATGGGAGTGGGGAAAGATTAATTTAGGTTTCTAGAAAACTGCCCACCTACCCCTCCCCTAAGTCAACAGTTTGCCCTACAATGTGAGTGATACCAAGTGTTAATGTTGGCTCAGGGGAAGGGTAGGTGGGCAATTTCCAAGAAACCTACATGTAAATTAATCCAAAATCTACTCTCCCCTAACCCCTAAGGAAGGCCTGATGCTGCTCAATACAATGACAATAATGGCTTTCTTACCCTCCTAGCAGCCTCTTCAATTTCATCCAAGGAGTTTGCAGACCCTGAAAAACATTCCTCATCTTCAACAGGTTTCTGCTCTACTCTGTCCACCCTGTCAAGTGCAGTAGTTGGCAGAGATGACACCTGGATATCTGCCTTGGAAAGCTGCTTCTCCAAAAGGTTCTCAACTACAATATTACGTGTCTCCTCCTTGTGAGAAAGAGGGAAACTCGCTCGAGTTTCCTGCGGAGATGTGTCCCCACTCTTTGCAGGTGATTCATCATAGAGATTTTTGCCTGTGGACCGAAGTTTGAAGCCTCCAGCTGGGAAGGAAGGAAGATGAAGTCCTGGTCCTGTTGGAGGGCTTCTATGGTTGTGTTCACTTTCTGCCAAACTTGTCTTTGAGGGGCTGTCTTCTTCATCATTATCTGAAGTCTCCTGAGCCGCAAATATCTAAATTCATGATTAATAAGAATTCAATGTCTTGTTAATTTTAAGCATTCATGGCTAAATAAATACTTCATCACCGAACAAGACTTACTAAACTTAGTAAACTCCATTACTCATTCCTTTCTAAAGCTATTAAGACACTTAACAATAGCTAGTATGGCTACTTTTCTGATACACTGAACAGGCCCCGGTTGTTAATTGCTATCAATTGGATTATTACATGTATTAGGGAAATCGATAATTGGTTTCCCTAATAATGCTTGCTCAAAAGATAAAAACATGGCAAGAAAGCAATTAAACTACAGTAAAAACCCTGCCTTACCGCCACCTCAAGTAATATGGTCACCTCGTTGTTACAGCCACTTTTTTTGGCTGCCGGGCAAAACGGCCATACATTTTCATGTAAAAAAACCCTCATTAACAAGGTCACCAAGTAATATGGCCATATTTGTTTTGGCCCATTGGTGACCGCATTAACGGGGTTCCACTAAATAAATCATCATATAGCATGACTGACATACATCCTCATCATCATCAAGTGATTTAGCCCAGCTGGCTCTGGTCGGCTTATGTTTTTTTCCCTGTGCCTCTGCAAGTCTCTTCTTCTCCATCAGATATTCATTGCCGAGTGTTTCTGTGGCTGGTATAATGTTTAAGTCTAATCCTTCATTTTTGTTGTCTTCTGTGGTTTCTGAAGTAAAGAAAAGAGAAGGAGAGAGGTTAAAAAAAAAACTGATATGATGACATGCAATGACTAGATCCAATTCAATGAAATTTGCAATTCTGAAGGCCAAGTGCAAAATGCTGAATATCATATTCTTTCTTATAAAATCAAGGAAAATATTTTTTTAGTTTAGTAGCAACAAAAATTTCGGGATTGATTAGTTTTGCAGCATATTTGTGGAATACAATTTTACATCCACCAGGTCTTGGTTTACCATGTTTTGGGTGGTACAGAACGTATTTGGAAATATGGTCCCCCTGGGGGTGTTGAAGACAATGGCCCAGGAATCTGATCTGTTGGGCTTTAACTGATTGGGAGAGGGGGACTCTTCCCATTCTATCATAGAATTCCTCATTGCTAAAATGATCAGATGACAGAATAATGTCAATGATACACTGTACCTGTTTTCACTTTATCTGCTTCTGTGTCCCAGCTCAATTGGAAATTTACAAGTGCTTGTTGTACTTCAGCTGCTAAACCATTCTCCACAACTTCCTCATTCACTTGCGATTTCCTCTCAGCACTGGGTGGTACGTTCTGTTCTTCATTTTTCTTTATTTTTCTATCCTTGCTTGAAATTAATTGCACATTCCCTGAAGGAACATCCTTTCCCAAATGTCTAGAGCTAGATAATGACAATTCTGCCTGTTCTTGTTTGAATAATTTTGAGGTGGGTTTTGTTTCCTTCCCTGGTGTTGTTTGCTGTAGAATGTGAAGTTGACTTTCAAGTTCTTTGACCTTAAAATAACAACAAATCATGGTCCAAGTTAGTAAAGTCACAAAAGTTTCTCAAACTCGAAGAAAACAAGGTGCAGAACAAAAGTCTTTGTGTGGATAGCAAAACTGCATCCAGTAAGCCTAAAAAACAACAAAGGAAACCACAAACGGTTTTTCAAGCTACACTGTAATGACAATGGAAAACTGTTGGGTGAATAATTCTTTTAAGGTTTTTATTAACCATCACCTTTTTCTCATTTTTATAAATAAATTATTGATAATGACATTTTTTTATTTTTTCCCAATTCAAAATGCCCCAAGAGACTAATTAACAATTATTCCTTGAGCCCGAATGGGCTCTGAGTCAAAAGCCCATGTGGCCGAAGGCCGAATGGGCTATTGACTCAGAGGCCATGAGGACGAGAGGAATAATTGTTTTAGTAAAATCCAACTAGTTGGTCAAAAATATCGAGAATAAAAAAAAATTTAGCTACCGCGGTAGTTAAAACCTAGACTTTAATCCTTTTTGGCCTCCAAAATCCCGCGCTTTTCGCTACTAGGGGGCCATAACATATAGCCTAGTAGTAGTTCAACCAATCAGAATGCACCATTGATAATAGACCACTAGTTGGATTTTACTAATGACAAATATACACTCAGATTCTCTAATACAGTGTATATTTATTAAATCCCTTTGTGTGTCCTTTAAAATTTACCATGATATTAATTTTTTTAAAGTCACCAAAAACAAAAACATGGTATCTACCAACCCTATCTTGAAGCAGTTTAATTTCCACGGCAGATCTCTCAGCAGCTGCAGCATTTGCTTGATCCCTTGAAAAACAAAATAGGGTCAGATTATAGTAATATTATGGAGAAAAAACCTACTGCTCAAGAATATGCAAAATATTCAGGAGCAGATGCATGCTCTGGAGGTTCTTTTATTAATAAACAATTTTGTTTTGACAAGATAAATACAGTCGACTCCCGATAACTCAAACCTTCAAGGGAAATTGAAAAAAGGTTCGAGTTATCAGGAGTTCGAGTTATTTAATTTCCCACAGTAAAGAGATTCAAGACCTGGGCACAGTTGTTTGAAGGCTGATTAGCACTTAACCCGGGTTTCTTTTTCTTGTGTTCAAAAGCACTTTCTGGGATAATTCTCTCTGTTATTTTTAGAGCTTCCAATCACCAACTTGTAGACAAAAAGAATTAAAACTGAAATGCTTTTAAAGCTTTCAAATCTGAATTCAAATCTCACACTAACCCTGGGTTATCTTAACCCCGCTTTGAACAACTTGGCCCTGATTTTTAAAGTGCTACCTTTTTGTTCACTGTCTGACTGAATCATTGATTATTACTGCTTTCAGGCCTAATTAGCCATTACAAAGTTTAACAATTACAAATACACGGTCTGTAAGTATGGTAGTTAATTAGTATTATTGTTGTCAGACAACAAACCTTTTGCTCTAAACTCACCTTTCCTCAAATTCCTTGACTTTTCCCTTAGCAATCTGGTATTTTTTCTCCAGGATCAGGTATAATCCCTTACTTTCCTCCAACTGCCGCACCATGTCGTCATTCTCTGCCTCAGAGAGTGCAAGGTCTGATTCTAATGAGCTCATCTTTTCCTTCATTTCAGCTAATGCCTTCTTCGTCTCTTCATTATCACTACCAGATTTCTACAGTGAAGATGAAAAATTTTTCATTTCAAATTTTAATAGATTATTATAATGGCTCCAATAGTTCACACGCTCCAATTGGCTGCTAAGCAGGCAAGATTTTCTTGTAATGACCGGGCATTACTATCTAAGTGTGAAAATACTTAAATAAGAATGACCAAGACCAGGTTTTAGGAGCCAGCGAGACTGAGCACCCTTCCCAAATAAACCCTTGTTTTTACCAAAAGCGCTGGACGCCACAACCTGGTTGAGGTCATTGTTGTCTAAGGTCTTCCGCTAAGGGTCCAGGGCATATACATTCTGTGTTAAACTTGATAATGGACATCCATGTTATGGTCAATTGACAGCTGTCAACTAAGCGTCTCTGCTGACCAGTGTCAGAAGACTGTATTGTAGGCTCAACCGTACAACTCATTGGGGTGATGTGTCTTTTTAAAAGTTATCCGTGATTAGTTGGTGTTTTAAATTGATCGGGGGCTTAGGTCCAAAATTTCTCATTGTCAAATAAACTGTGTCCTGTGGTTTTGATCACATCACCAGGTTTGTTTTAGTGAACACAACCTTGAATGATCCCTTGTGTGCTGATGTTGAAACTAATAATTACTTCCAATGTTTATTATTGTATTCAGTTTAAGAATAGTGCCAAAAAGGCCAGATAATAAACTTGTTAACCTTGTCCATGGCTAATAAGTGGTATTTCACTACCTTTCGATTAAGCGATTAAGAAAGCTACAAGTAGATTACCCACTTAGCAATTATCACAGTTCCCTGATGCACTGGTGTATATGTTGTAGTTCAATTTGCACTTTGGTACAATTTGTGTTTGTGAAAGAAAGGACGCGGAAAATCACAAACCTACAGTAAACTAAATTGCTGAGACAAAACCTATAAAATCACTCACATGTTTTGCCATAACATCATTTGACTGAGCTGAAAACATTTTTTCTGCCACTGCAAGTCTTTTCTCTGCTTCTTCTGCTTTGGCTTCAGCCTGTAATACACATGAATAGTACATAAAATATTGAGTCCAAGCCAATGGATTTCAAACCACACATTTTTTTCCTGAACAACTGCAGAGGTGCTGTAGATTGCTGCAAAATTAGGGACTGGTCATTAATTGCCTGTGAGGGAGGGCCGCCCATTTTGAGAAAGTTTAGAAGAATTTCAAACTGACCACCACTTCATCCTAGCTTTTTAAAAATGACCCCACATAAATTTTACACATTGTGAAAGTGACCACACCCCCACCCAACTCAACTGCTGTGGAAACTAATGTATGACTATTCTAGCTACAAATCGTGTCGAAGATTACCACATACTTTATCTACAGTTGTGTTTATGAGTCTGGTGTTGACTTTTCAAAGCTGTTACATTCAATTTGAATTCACATTTGTTTAACTGCTTTGTACTACTTTCATGAAATTAATTAAAGTGACCTCCCAGGTAACACTCCCTTATCTGAAAATCCCCCCCCCCCCCACCCCCACAAAATTGCTGCCCTCCCACCCTCCAAACACACACATAGGTAATAAGCACCCAGCCCCTTAAAAGATGATCATTATTACCAACATGGCCAACTATTGGCATGGTAAATTCTCATGGCATTTGTGCATTTGTTCTCTGTACCAACCTGAGCTAGTTTTTGCCGAAGTACTTCAAGTTGCTGTTCATTGTTAGAGTCAATTCTGTGCAAATTGTGTAGGTGAGCTCTACTCTTGTCTCTTCCCATAAGAAATCTGAGGATTAACACGTTATATTCAAAAATGATTACAAGACAAGTGTACATGTTACAATGTACATGTACAGTAAATAGTGTGAAAATAATTTGGTTTCTTTGGGCCCAAGTGGGATGACTGAAAAACAGAAGTACAGTATCTGTACTGCATACATGTAGGTGCATGAAACGCCCGGTTTCACTAGTGTACAGTTGCACCTCCATAATATTATCCAGACCTTAGTCCCAGATTTTTTCACAAGCCTTGATCTAAAATTTATTTATAATCATGTCCACAACACTTGGATGCAGATTCAATGTAAATAGCCTTTTTCTTAACTTTAAAACATGCTTTAAAACAGTTTTAGCAGAAATTGCATGCATTTTATTGACAAAGTTGAATTAGCTGAAAACAGACTTATTGACTACACTGTATGCTGTGCTTCTGAGCAGATTTCTAAATAATTAAAAAAATTATTGTAATGATACAAATGCCAAATGATTTATAGACTTTATTCTGTTTATTCTCACACAGAATATTTACATCAGCTCCTTCGCTTCCAAGAGAGACTAAGATGAATGGAGTACCAAATATGGCAGCAAATTTGAACATTTCAAAAAATTTTAAAAGAGATCAATTGTGATCAAATTGCAATTTTTTCAGAGATTCTCTTACTGATAGTAAATAATTTATTTGTATTTTAATTTACGAAAAAATTTTTAAGACAAAAGGCAATTACATTTACATTATGTGTAATGTTAATCATCATTTAAATGACTATGTAACACTAATCAGAAGAAAGAAAAAAACTATTTATTGCTTTTTTTGTTTACCTCACCACCCCGCTGGTGTTCTTTAGTGTCTGTGCAGCAAATATCTGTGTTACTCCGACAAGAGAAATTCCGTCAACCTCAATTATTTGATCATTCACTTGTATTCTAAAAGGAAAGAATTTGAAGACTGCACATAACATACATTGCATAAAAAAGTATTGTGTACAGAGTGTCTGGGATAACAATGTTAAGGACGATAACAATGATAACAGTGTTGTGTGGCAAAATAAATAAATATTGTACTCTTAAGGAACCTACATACTTATTGTTATCTAATATTTCATGTAATATCTACCTACATGTACACTTGCCCTTTTTTCACCAAAACTGGTTTCAAAATTCAATTAATGTGCATACCGTAAACTTCCGCTTGTGAATGGTAGGGGGAGGAGGTGCTGATCAAAATACCTTTTGAATTTATTCCCTTTTTAAGCTTCCAAGATTCAACATAAAAAATCAAATTTATCTGTGTTTTTGGTTACATGTACCGCTAGATGGGCCTATAACTTGGGGGCTTATTAGTGGGGGGGGGGAGGGGAGGGGGCATAAAAGTGGATATTTACGGCATTATATACATTGTTTCTTGATATTCATATGCCATACTGTGTACAGTGCTGTTATCTGACTATAAACCATGAACCTTTACATCAAGAGTTGTCTAAACTTGAACACGACATTCAGCTGTCAGCCAATTCTAAGTTAAAAACTTCTTTGGTTCCAGACTTACATGACAGGAAAAGATTATCAAGATTATGGCGAAAAATTTACTGATCACAGAACATGCTACCATTTTTATTGTTCCAAAATGCAGTAAAACTTTCAGGTGTGCAGGTGATTTAATCATGTTACATGAATTAAAGCATGTACATGTAACAACTCTGAGTAAAGTGCAAATGATTTATTTTTTAAATAACAATTGAGAGTCATTACCTTCCATCAGCAGCAGCAGCTCCACCCTCCGTCAGTGACTTGACGAATATGCCCAGTTTTTCCACCCCTGTATCAGTGCCAACACCAAGACCTATAATGCTTAAACCTAGCCCTCTCTCACCTGCAAATACAACAGACATGCTTACATTTTTTTTTAGGGTCCTTGCAAGAATGGACGTCAAAATTGTCTTTAAACACACTGCTCAATTCAGCACAATCATTTTGAGGAAATATGAAAGTACATGTAACCCAGAAATTTTATTTTACTCAGAGTAAAACAGTCATACACAGAGAAACCAACCTCTGGACATCTAACATTTAGAGAATGCCTTTTTTGCATTCAATACCAATCATCCAGCCCCTACATTATGGTCGAGTGGCTAAGGCCATTGTCGAGTGGCTAAGGACAATGTTGAGAGGCTAAGGACATTATACAAAGTCTTACATGAAGTAATGATAATCAAAACTTGCTTTTACCCACAACTTTCACAGTGCCCATAATGCATGTACACCTTTCTTACCTCCGAAAATTGTTTTCAATTTCTTCTGGGTAGTAAAATGCTTCAAGAGAAATTGAAAATAATGCTAATGCAAAATTTTGGGGAGTAAACAAGCTGTATTATGCAATGCTGTGATCGAAAACAATTGAAGGAAGCCCGGTGCTCTGAACCTGTGAAATCTAGGGTGGCCAGCATATGAAAAAAACTAAGATTTTCTAGTTGCCCAAGAGCAAAAGGTAGACACCAGGGGCCACTGGGCACTTTAAGAGCACAGCCTTCTTATGGGGTGATGTGAAACTGAAAAAGAAATGACTGTAATGACAAAAAAATCTTTGTAAGTGATGGAATGCATGCAAAACCCTAGATTTTATGTACATGTATTAGGGGTAAAATGGGCTACATTTCAAATTAGAATGTGGAAAAGTTCAAAATTCATGTGATATGTACATTTGTACATTACCTTACCTTTTTCCAAGTCGACAGAAAAAACATCCATCTTTTCAACTCGTTTTTCGAGTTCCCATTCAGCTGACGCTGTTACAGGATCAATGTCATCGTTACCTCTTTCATATTCCTCTGCACTGTATGTCGGAAATGCTTTAGGGAGTTCAACTGCAAATCCAACACTTCTTTTTTGTGTTTTAATGTCTTTGTCTTTGCCCTTAGCTAATGCAGATGACAGTGGCTTTGCTGAAAATAAAAGTGACACTGGAGATTCGTTCTGATCATCCTCCACATCACTATGCTCAACAACGCTACCAGCACTTTCATCCTCAGAGCTTTCACTTTCTTCTTTGTGTGACGTCACATCTTCAGTTTTAGACTTGAGGTGCTTACTTTCCTCAGACAAACGAGACCCTTTGTTTTCACTTTCCAGAGCAATTGAGTCCCGAACTTTTGGAAAACTGAAGCTGGATGATGAGTCCATCTGTGCCAGCTCCTCTGGTGGAATTTCTTCATCCTTCCAGGTGGCTTCTCGCACCCTCCCAGGAGTCTCATCAAAGAAGTCATCTTTTGGAACTTCTTTTCGATGAAATCTCTGGCCAACCTGCCCATGATCCTGTGAAGTTGGAGCACTTACATCTTTAACATCGGACTTGTCTTCCTGCTCAGTCTTTTCAGCCTTAGAAGACACCAGCTTTTCCTCTTGTTCTTTCTTTAGCGATGTAATAGAGACATCAGTTATAGCAGTTTCTTTGTCCTTCTCATTAACACTACCAGGTATCACAATTGAGTCAGGCAAGATACGATCCACACTATGAGATTTATAGAGATACTTACTACCATGCGCTCCTGGTCTCCTTAAAACAGAGTCATCATGGGATTGTTTTCGATAATCTCCGTTGACAGCTTTAGAATCAGATGAAAAGCGACCACGGCTGCGTATAATGTACATAGGTCGCTTAGTTCCTGGGTCAGATCTTGTGCGAGATCTTGGCGAGGGTGATGGGTCACTTTTTCGCAGGGAGCTGAGGTCCAGCTCCTTTAAATCTGGGACTAAATCTATCAGGCTTGGGGATCGTTTTTCCCTGGGCTGGACATCTTCATTCGATCCACCACTTTCAAAAACCGCCCTTCTCGCGGCAATACCCTGAGATACATGAGGTTTGTGTGATGGATCAGAAGGTGTAGTGGGCAACGTCTTCTTGTAGTAACTAGGCAACGACCATCTTCCTGGAACAGCTGACTGAGCAATTTCTGAAGAACCACTTTCTGCTTTCACCCTGTCAAATGCCTCTGAAACAGGTCTTGGTTTCTTGTAGTTCTGGCGTGCTTTAAGTGTCTCGTTCGCAATTGTCTCATCAAAAATATGTTTCAACTTGCTTACATTGGGCTTCCCTTCATCTTCAACTCCGTTCTTGTTTTTATCTCCCACGGCAGGCCGTCCTTCACTACTGGGTTTTCGCGGCACGCGGGGTTTCTCATCTCGCGTTTTACGAGCAACATTCTCGTTTTTTAGAGGTGCAATGAAAGCTTTATCGGACGATATAATTTTCTTTGGAGGAGCACCGAACTTGTTGTACGCTCGGTGTTTCAGCTCATTCTCTGGACTGGCTGCATTACGCTTTGTTTTTGTGTCAATAATGTTCTTGTTGCGAGTCACCCCGGATGAGCTTTGACTCTTCACGGTATCATTGTTCTCACCTTTTGAGGCATTGGCCAAATCTCTGCGAGCTCGGTATCTGTTTTCTTTGCCGTGTTCAGTCCTTGTTGCCATCTACTAAGACGTTTCCGGAATTTTTCTTCCCGTATTTACCAGAAACCCTTGGATTTGTGTCGCCTGCTAATTCTTTAGCCAAGCACGTCGCAGCATGTTCACACAGAATGTTCACTTCAAATGGCGATTAAACAATGGTTTAAACAAGACCTGTGTGTAAGGCCCTGTTTCTCCTAAAATCTTCGGAATTTCAAAGGAAACTTGAAGCAATATTCGTCCTTTTGGATTTCACGCCATTACAAGTCCCATACCACAGAAATGGCCGCCATATTAGCTCTCGACAACTTTAGAGTAATCTATCCTTTTAGCTCTGACAGGCGATGAAAATACCATTAAAACGCACGACTGCAGTTCCGAAATGAGCAAACTTGGGCTAAAACAGCATCGAAATGCCGCGACTGAAAAATCACAGCCTCTTACAGGAAGCGAATTGCTCCTCGTAAACGATAGAAGTATTCGTCTGTGACAAGTAGATCACGTGACAAAGATAAATATAGTGCGGAGTTTTCGATCAGGTTCAAGGATACAGGAGGGTTTGGGTTCGTAAACTGTATTTTGATTGTATAAAATTCGCAGGAGAAAATATTTGCGCCAACCTTGGTTACTAGTCAAGAACAATTGAGAATAAATAAACAAACTAGACATATTTATGAAGAGCTATTTGCGGAAACGTGGAATAATTTCAATCAAATTAGCATATGAACCGTGTAAGCACCAAATCACTTTGTCCTGAAAAATTCAACAACAAATGCTAATTGACCGAAACAAAGTGAGTCCAAAGCACCAAGAACAATGCATTATAAACTTCCTCGTTGCATTTTTCTTTTAAAATTCTTCAAAGGATCCGGGCAGGGAATTTATGGGAACAAGCAAAAACAAAGGTTAAGAAAGAGTTAGGGATATTGTTTGCAAACATGTCGAAGCGATTAAAGGATTAGCCGCAGCGATTTGCATAAGTGATCTTCGCTCTGGAAGTTTCACTGAAATCAAAACAGGTGCCGAGAGATAATATACGAGGAAATAAAACAATTTTTTCATTAATTAATATTTAATGTTTGTCGACATAGTTTTATCTTCTCGCCATACAAATGTAAGAACTTTGAAATGATTCAATGTGATCTGGTCTAATACCAGAGAAAAACAACTTTTACGGCTTTAATTTCTTATTACAATTCATTCTTCTTAAGAGTTTACACAAGAGTGCAAAGTGCGCATAAACTAGCACAAAAATTTGAAAATGCAGTCACACATCACATCTCCTAGCTACGGAAGGTGAGGTGACGCAAAGCAAAGAAATAGAAAAGACGAAAAAAAATCACCTTTTTGCTAAAGCTCCTTATGTACTAATATTCCAAATTGTACGGTACCCCTCATTAATAAAAACAAAATTTTCCAGTCCGGTCTTTTTTCAGTATTAACAACTATTGAACTTTTGTTACCCGGTGACCCCCCCCCCCCCCCCCCCCCCCCCCCGGGGGGGGCCCAACCCCCCCCCTATTTTTTTTTTTTTTTTTTTTTTTTTTTAAATGGTCTTTTGTTCAAAAATGAGCATTTTTGACTTTTTTAAAAAAAAAAAAAAATATAAAAAAAAAAAAAAAAAAAAAAAAAAAAAAAAAAACCCAAAAATTGCAAAAAACAAAGAAAGTTTTAATATGTGTTATTATGTAAATACTTCTATTTTCCCCCCCCCCCCCCCGCGCCCCCGCGGGTGGGGCCAAACCGCCCCTATAGTTTATTATCTATTTATTTATTTATCGAATAGGTCTGTTGCTCAATACTGAGCATTTTAGACTTCTCTAAAAAATGACAACAATATAGCAAAAACGATAGCAACAACAATAACAATAAACACCGAATAATTGAAAATGCCAATGGATGTTGTAGTATGTGTTATGATGTAACTACTGCTATTTGTAGTAACTTGTTATGTATACTGTAATGAATAGCTTAACACAGAACATTGTAATTTTAAATTATTTGGAAACAGTCACTGTACCAGCTGGTATAAGACACCAAATAAAATGTTGTCTTGTCTTATCTTATCTGGTATTCACGGTGTTAAAAACTGAGTTTTTAACTGCAGCTAGTGAACTGGACAATTAGTGCAATTTCTCTTAGGAGTTCATTCCATTCTGAAATTGTCCTTGGAAAGAAAATGATGATCCCTTATGGCTATCGGCTGCTTGTAAGCATACTTACAATTGACATGCTGGTTTGGAGTTAATATCTTCGTAGACGACAAGCCTATTTTTCGCTTTTTATACAGCATTGATAAACGTGCTATGGTTGGTCTACTTTCAAGTGGCTTCTATTTCAGGGCTAAAATCATTGCAGTGACACTATCCCTCCGCTCGAAGCGATTTAAGAACAGTATATGGATCCCATACGGTCTAAACGTGCTGTGACATGAGACAATTCGCAACGACAATTTTTAGTGAAACACAGCTTTGCAACATTGTTGAGACATTGTTTCGAATAGTTACAACATTGTTCCAACATTGTAACGCTGTACAAGAGTTGGGCGTACCAAGGCCAGTTTATGCCGTTTCATTGGTCCCTAGTTGACAACGTGTTAAGTTCGGTTTGAGAAAGGCTGAAGTGTTGTTAGTTTTATTCTGATTACTGACATGTTCATTCTAGTGAAGTTCGTCGGACAAGGTAGAGCCGGCCAAGGTATCTGACAGAGTGCAGAGACTCTAGGTTGTATCCCTGATTAAGCTTGTAGTCGTAGACATTATATTTTTCAGCATTAGACTTCATTTTTCAATCTGATTCTCATTTTTCCAGGCTGAGCAGATCTTGCTAATAATTGAATGCAATCAACAGTGGACTTCATGGCCTAATAAATAACAATGGCATCTGCGGATAGAAAGGCTTAATTTTCCACATGCCAGAGGAGGTTATTTGTAAAGGCTATGAATAAAATAGCCGCCCTACAACGGAATCCTGTGGGAATCCTGATGACCCTGGAATGTCAAATTATGACGTCACTTTTGCTGACGTAAATTTTAAACCTTTGAATCTCCCATTTTAATACCCGTTTTAAAAGAATTTTTTAAAGGAGGATAAAAAAAATTAGAGCAAATTTTGAGATATGGCGTTTTTGAAATTGGACTTAAACGGGATACCCCCTTGTAAAATAAATCTTGATTGAAGTGTTTTGTTGTCGCAAAGCCATTGCTATATATTTAAATTACACATAACACATCCTGACTACTATCGAAATCAAGAAGAAAAACCGGAGAAATTTAAAAAAAAAATCCTAACTGCGCAAAAACCAGAGTAACAGTTTTCTGATGTCATAAACTGTCATTTCATCATTTTTTGTTTTGCTGAAATTAGCGTTTTTAAGCAAAAAAAATTATGCAAAAAAGGTGTGTGTTACTGAAAAATCATCTTATTTTGCAAAAAAATAAAATGAAATAATAATAAAAATTGTTTTTTTTTAAGGAAAAGTATGGCTCCTGGGATTGCATGAGAATTTCTTTGAGGTCCCGTAACTCTAGTTTAACGTGTCCGATCAATTTGGGTTTGTGGGAATATGCCCACCTACCCCTTCCCTAAGCCATCATTTTTCCCGAAGTGAGAAGTAAATATTAATGTTAGCTTAGGGGAGGGGTAGGTGGGCAGTTTCCCAGAAACCTAAATCTAACGTGCATGTCTTAGTGAGAAAAGGTTTTTTCAAGTGCTCTTTCGGATAATACACATTGTTGTCCCCNAACAGTTTTCTGATGTCATAAACTGTCATTTCATCATTTTTTGTTTTGCTGAAATTAGCGTTTTTAAGCAAAAAAAATTATGCAAAAAAGGTGTGTGTTACTGAAAAATCATCTTATTTTGCAAAAAAATAAAATGAAATAATAATAAAAATTGTTTTTTTTTAAGGAAAAGTATGGCTCCTGGGATTGCATGAGAATTTCTTTGAGGTCCCGTAACTCTAGTTTAACGTGTCCGATCAATTTGGGTTTGTGGGAATATGCCCACCTACCCCTTCCCTAAGCCATCATTTTTCCCGAAGTGAGAAGTAAATATTAATGTTAGCTTAGGGGAGGGGTAGGTGGGCAGTTTCCCAGAAACCTAAATCTAACGTGCATGTCTTAGTGAGAAAAGGTTTTTTCAAGTGCTCTTTCGGATAATACACATTGTTGTCCCCGCTCCCCAGAGCCCACCGTTTCTTTTGGTCAAGTCCGTTACAAATTAAGCTTTGGGGGTGAGAATCGATAAAAATGACTTTGAAATTAAAAAATAATATATATTAACCCTCTTTGGTGACTTCCGTCCTTGCTCAGGGACTTGCTACAAGTCGACTTCTCCAGCTGCTTCTCATAAGTTCTTAAAAGTTCTTCAAAGCATGAGGTCAAGCAGCGACCGATCGCGAGAGTCGACTAGTTTCGCCTGAACGGATTTTGTCGTCATTTAATTAAGTGCAGGGAACGGTTATGAAACCCGTTAGACCTCTTTTGTTATATGTTTTTATTAGCTTTTTTGTACCTGACCGTGCACAACGTTCAATAGCATTCCTATCATTTTGAACTTACAGACCAACAGAAACATTGCATAAATATCTTCAGTTTCGAATTGTGAACAAAAAACAAAGGATTGTGCACGGTTAGGGAGCTTCCAGCATTAACTACCGCACCATTGTTTTCAACTTCGTTGTTTGCCGGTTTTCCCAACAAGTCCCCTCTACTAACTACGATGAATTTGAATCATATTATAAATTCACTCGGGAAAAATTGATTAACATATGCTGTGTCGGGAGCGGCGTGAAATATCACTCACTGTCCTATTGGTCAATTGTCATGACGTCACCGATAGAATTTTCGACCAATGAACTTCGCGCCAAACAGGTATGAAAAGTCTTTAAAATGGTATAACCAACCAGTAAAAAATAATAATAAAGGACTAATAGAAAGTCTACGTCCTAGCCTGCGTCACAGACGTAATTTAACCTTGGTTAGGAACCGGTCATTATTTATCGCCTGGAGGTGGGGGGCGGG